CTTGTATGTACTTTTTTGTAAGTGTTCCACATTAGATTAACTGAATAATAGAAAAATAAAGACAGTGAGCAACGGGCTTTGGTTCTGTGCCTTAATAGATCCATGTATATACTACACTGTAGTATAGTGTCCGTGCTGTAGTAAGTACAGCACGGACACTCGACAATGACATAATATTTGTGTGACGCACACAAAATGTGCAGTCACATTTTTTATGTTATTTTGTAATCTGGCTATTTGTGTTGGTGCTGTTAAGTAGCTCCCTACGGTGGTGTATTATTGCTATCACTCCCCAAAAAATATTTCGGCTCAGTATCACGTAATTACGTGAAAAGTTTCACGTTATAACGTGATTTCACGTTATAACGTGAAATTATCACGTATTTATAACGTGAAATTATCACGTTATAACGTGATACGAAATTATCACGTTATTACGTGATACGAAATTATCACGTTATTACGTGATACGAAATTATCACGTTATTTCGTGATACGCATTTATCACGTTATTACATGATATTTTCACGTTATAACGTGAAAACGTCAAGTATGGTTTTACGTGATTTCATTATAAGATCAGCCACAGCCAAACCACGCTTCCCTCGGTCCAGTCAACTCCAGCCTGAGCATGGCCCACGCTGAAAATGTGGATTCTCCACTCTTGAGATTACTTCGGGCTCGTGTTGTCTCCTTCGCATGAAGCAAGATCGTGTAAGTGTATTTTACGGTTTCGTCCCCAAGTTGTGTTAGCGTACGGTAGCAGAATGCTCTGTAAGCAACTGCTGAATATTAGAGCTGTAGCGAGTTGTTCGCTGTGGGTAGAGAGCTGCTAAAAGTAGCCTAGTCTGTTTGCAATTCTGTTATAGCTTCTAAGAATTAGTTTAAAGACAAAAGCATTCATTTGACACATTTCGGTGTTCCAGTTACTTATGAATAATGACCATAAAACATTGTTGACTGTTTGCACTCAGAACATAGTGAAGAGAAGGTTATTCAGAAAATGTGGTTAGTTAAGCTAAGCTAAGCCCCGCTTCAACTCATCTGAGCCCGGCCTGTGCAGGCGAACAGCGCTCAGAGGTCCCTTGCTCCTCCGGTTCAGGCCGGGCTCAGATGATCTGGAGCGGGAGTGGTTAGGTGCCTCGGCCTGAGAGAGCGCTTTTTCTCGAGAAGAACCAATGCACGGAGGAGCTCAGAACAGTAACGAACCAGACCGGATTCGCGGCTTCTGTCCGGATGCTTTACTCCACCTCAGAACCAGCCGCAACGCTACACGGAGTAACCCGCACGACCTAGAGTTCACTGCGCATTCTCGCTTTCCCCGCACGAACCAGCACGCAGAGACGACACGGAACCGCTCAGCGATGTCTTTACTGCTGTTGGCTGCTGCTGTTACCCGAACTCAGAGCTTCTGGGCTGATGTGCAGCGAGTTGTGTACAAAGTTATAGGCTACATGTGCTGTTTTATGAGTTTATGATGATAACTTGGGATGAGGACGGCCGTGGTGTTTATGGTCTTTATTCATGAAGAACTTGAAACACCGACATGTGTCAAACGAATGCTTTTGTCATGAACTATGGAGCATAACAGAAATGCAATTTTAGCAGCTCTTTGCCCACAGCGAACAACTCGCTACAGCACTCGTTCAGCAGTTGCTTACCGAACATTCTGCTATCTTGAGGACGAAACAGTAAAATACTCTTACAAGATCTTGCTCCATGGGAAGGAGATAGTGTTCTCCTTCGTTAGGAGCCTAAATGTGTTTCAGATTTAATTCTGATCCACTTCCTACTGACCTAAATACGCACAGCAACATTTGCATTGAAACTGTACATAAAACACCTTTTACAGCAAGTATCACAACTAGGATGTAGATGCTTACATTTAAAAACATGAACCTCAACAACTCAAAGTTGGATCAGTGATATCCTAACATTAAATCTCATTATTTAACAAAAGAAGCAGCAGATTTTTTACAATGTAAACGATGTTTATTTTATTCATTTATTACAAAAACACATTTAGGCTCCTAACGACTTAATAAACAGATCCGCGGCAGAACCGCAGCAGATCCGGGCCAGATAACCCGGTTCTGAACGCGGATCCAAAACGGGTCCTGGGCGGGTCCGCGAGATACGCAGCGGATCAGCCGCGGATCCGGAAAAATAAGACAGTCACGCTTCCCTTCGGTCAACTCCAACGTGAGCATGGCCCAGGCTGAAAGTGTGGATTCTCCACTCTCGATTTTTCTTTGGGCTCGTGGTGTACCAGAACACACCAGAACACTATCTCCTTCCCACGGAGCAAGATCTTGTAAGAGTATTTTACTGTTTCGTCCTCAAGATAGCGGAATGTTCAGTAAGCAACTGCTGAACGAGTGCTGTAGCGAGTCGTTCGCTGTGGGCAAAGAGCTGCTAAAATTGCAATTCTGTTATAGCTCCATAGTTCATGACAAAAGCATTCGTTTGACACATGTCGGTGTTTCAAGTTCTTCATGAATAAAGACCATAAAACACCACGGCCGTCCTCATCCCAAGTTATCATCATAAACTCATAAAACAGCACATGTAGCCTATAACTTTGTACACAACTCGCTGCACATCAGCCCAGAAGCTCTGAGTTCGGGTAACAGCAGCAGCCAACAGCAGTAAAGACATCGCTGAGCGGTTCCGTGCCGTCCTCTGCGTGCTGGTTCCGTGCGGGGAAAGCGAGAATGCGCAGTGAACTCTAGGTCCGTGCGGGTTGCTCCGGTGTAGCGTTGCGGCTGGTTCTGAGGTGGAGTAAAGCATCCGGACAGAAGCGCGAATCCGGTCTGGTTCGTTACTGTTCTGAGCCTCCTCCGTGCACTTGGTTCTTCTCGAGAAAAGCGCTTCTCAGGCCGAGGCACCTAACCACTCCCCGCTCCAGATCATCTGAGCCCGGCCTGAACCGGAGGAGCACAGGGACCTCTGAGCGCTGTTCCCCTGCCCAGGCCGGGCTCAGATGAGTTGAAGCGGGGCTTAGCTTAGCTAACTACACCACATTTTCTGAATAACCTTCTCTTACACTGTCTATGTCTGAGTGCATACAGTCAACAATGTTTTATGGTCATTATTCATAAGTAACTGGAAACACCGAAATGTGTCAAATGAATGCTTTTGTCTTTAACTAATTCTTAGGAGCTATAACAGAATTGCAAACAGACTAGGCTACTTTTAGCAGCTCTCTACCCACAGCGAACAACTCGCTACAGCTCTAATATTCAGCAGTTGCTTACAGAACATTCTGCTACCGTACGACTAACACAACTTGGGGACGAAACAGTAAAATACACTCACACGATCTTGCTTCATGCGAAGGAGACAACACGAGCCCGAAGTAATCTCAAGAGTGGAGAATCCACATTTTTCAGCGTGGGCCATGCTCAGGCTGGAGTTGACTGGACCGAGGGAAGCGTGGTTTGGCTGTGGCTGATCTTATAATGAAATCACGTAAAACCATATTTGACGTTTTCACGTTATAACGTGAAAATATCATGTAATAACGTGATAAATGCGTATCATGAAATAACGTGATAATTTCGTATCACGTAATAACGTGATAATTTCGTATCACGTAATAACGTGATAATTTCGTGTCACGTAATAACGTGATAATTTCGTATCACGTTATAACGTGATAATCACGTTTAAACGTGAAAATACCACATCACGAAATAACGTGATAATTTTCATATCATGAAATAACGTGATAATTTCACTTATAACGTGAAAAAATATCAACGTTATAACGTGAAACTTTCACGTAATTACGTGATACTGAGCCGAAATATTTTTTGGGGAGTGATAGCAATACACCACCGTAGCTCCCTTATTGATAACATGTACTAAATTGCAAATGTAATGTTTTCCTCACGTTACTGTAAAGTTTTAGGATACTCTTGCATTTTACCGGGTGCGCCAGGAGCAGTGTTAGTGAGTAAGTCGCGGGTCTCCAGCCACGTCCCTTCTTGAAAAGTTTGCGCCACTCCTCTTCACTACAATGAAGCGAGGCTGCATCAGAACATGGATCTATTAAAATAACTGGATACAGTATTGCTAGCTTGTAGCTGCCTCGAGTTGACGTGTAGGGCCACTCAGTGGTACTACAGTCGAAAAAATCCCATGGGCCGAGAGAAGATTTTTCTCATAGAGCGCAATGTAATCACAACCTGCTCGTGTTCGGCTGACAGGGCACCTACAACTTTCAAAAAATGTCGGATTTTGTGGCGATTTTTACCTATTTTTAGATCATAACTTTTTCTCGCTCAAAATCCTTCAGTTGTCTAAAAAAAACGCTTTATATTCGTTAGCTCAGGCTCCGCTCTCGTTCCTCTCGCTCTGATTGGTCAAAGCGATCACGTGATACACGAGCCCGCGCTCCGTGCGTGTGGCGCGTGCATTCGCGTGTGCCCGTGGAGAAAAGAGCACTACTGCGCATGCTCGGTCGGCCCACGGCCACCGGAAGTACCTAGCCGGGCTAGGCTAATCTGATCATGCGCCATTGAGCTCAGCCCATTGACTTGAATGGGCGGCCATTTTGAACCTGGGGGCTTGCACAGAACCATGGATCTATTAAAATAACTGGATACAGTATTGCTAGCTTGTAGCTGCCTCCAGTTGACGTAGTGGTCACTCACTGGAACTACAGCAAAAAAATCCCATGGGCCGAGAGAGAATTTTTTCCATAGAGCGCAATGTAATCACAAACTGCTCGTGTTCGGCTAACAGGGCACCTACAACTTTGAAAAATATCGGATTTTGTGGAGATTTTTACCTATTTTCAGATCATGAACTTTTTCTCAGCTCAAAATCCGTATTTTGTTTTAAAAATCGCTTTTTAATCGTTAGCTCCGGCTACGCTCTATGCCCGCTCTAGCTAAGCTCCAGCGCTGATTGGTTATAGCGGTCACGTGGTACGACATGAACGAGCATGAGAGTGATGTGAACGAGCCAAACTGTCGTGAACGAGCCGCAGGTTTAAAGCATGGGTCAGAGGCGCTCTCGAAGCATTAACATGATAATTTATTCGATAAAAATGTATGGACAAACCAAAAAAAAGAGACAAGGAAAAAAAAAAACTGTAAGGACCAGACAAAAACTACACGTAAGTATATTGTTCGTTATTTTGAAGAATTATTCTGAAATGTACATGCATAAAAAAATACAATAAATCATCCACAGCTTATAAAATGTTGCCTCCATGAGGTTAGCACATACAGAATGATGGCCTGTCTTGGTTGAAAGCCCACTCACCACGGCAAGGTGCAGACCACGAGTGGGAACACAAGACCAGACGAGGACAAGACAAACTCTGACGGGACAACAGGTAAGATGCAAATACAAGGAATGAACTATCAACCTTCAAACATATATGATATAATACAAAATTTGGCTAATATCTCATATGAATTAAATAAAAATAACTTAACTATTTACAGTATATATACACACTATTTAAAACATGCAAATACATTGAACCATGTGACACAACTTTCACACAAAATAGAACTTTTTTTTGGTTGCAGGAACTGCATTTTTTTTAAATTTTTTTTTTATTTAAGTTTTTTAGTTTTTTTTTTTTTTTTTATGTTTTTTGTTTTAATGTACAAGTAACAATGTGTGTTTTGAGTATGTTTGTGTTCATGTAGTCACCTTTAAACTTGTGCTCCATTGATGCAAGCTCCAAGTTTTCCAGTGACTTTATTTCCTAAATAGATGAGCCACACAGCTAGTTTTAAGGGGGTCTGAAGCTGATTGTCACCTTCTTACTTGCCACATTATTAAGCTGCAAATCACTACTCTGCTGTTATAAAAATGACAAAGGGAAATGACCACTGTTTACTTTCAAACTTGTGCTCCGTTTATGCAAGCTCCAGGTTTTCCAGTAAATACAGTAGTCAATGTAAGCTAAATGTTGGGAGGGGTATGTTAGGCCAATGTAAATGTAATAATACTGTTACAGACAAAAATGCTGCAGCTCAGTGATGGATTACTGATGGTGAAAATGGATCAACTTTGTTAACTTACGTCTAACCAAATCTTTTGTAATTTTTTCTGTTTCTCTGTTAGCAAGATGATGGAGCCGAATGGTACAGTACAGAGAAGTTGCCATTTTCACCAGAAGATGCACATGGTTGTCTTCAACAGTGGTATCAAACATGTGACCATGCAGCCCTGGAAACAAAGTCTTGTTTGCACTGTAAAGAAGAACTTCTTTTCCACTGGCCATAGACAGCCCGTGCCCTTGAGGAAGTTTGCCAGAGGTTGCTTTCAAGACCCGTTGGAAACAACGCTCTGCTTCTTTACAGACTGCAATGATTCCCTCAGATGGCTTCTGCAATCCTCCTCTATCTTTCAGAAGAAGAAAAGGATGGACGGGGGACTCAGATGTTATAGCGTCAGAGCATGGTGTGCAAAGATGTTTTTCCTTGATTTTTTTGACAACAAACCCTGCAATATAGTTGATGGCAGCCTCTTTGTACTCAGAGACAGCATCAACATCAGGACAGAGTGAGTAGTCATGTTCAGACTGGGCTTCCTCAACAGGCTCCAGGTTGAACCTACGTGTGGTGTTAATTGAGGCAGGTGTAATGCCCAAGGTGCCTGTGTTATCCAGCAGGAGACAGTTGCCTGTGCCAGTCTTTACCTGATGCTTGACGAGAAGACGCTTGTAAGCTGCAGTGAACTGTGTGGTGGTGGGATTGTTGTTGAATCCACCACGTGCTCTGACAGAGGAGAAGAAAAGCTCTAGGTGGTCTTGACTGAGCTTATAGGTCAGTAGATAACGACACTGGGCATCATCCTTTTCCACAAGGTCATGGAAGATGTTCTGTACACTTCTTGCACTGGCAATAAAACCAATGATGCATGTTCTTCTTCTTCCAGAATGCACAGGGTTCCCGTTGTTGTCTCTGAGCGAAAGTAGAGTTGACTCTGCTTTTTGAAGGATCGCTGCAGTTCTGTCTTTGTTTGATGCTCTCATAGGTGCTTTGTATATCCCTTCCCAAGTGGATTCCTGCTGTTGAGAACATCAAAGGCAGCGTCAATGGTTCTCAGGAATTCTACTGTCTCCTCACAGCCTCTGAACTGTGGCAATTGCAGTTGTTGGTTGCAATATTCCAGAGCATCAGCCACACTACTACTGAAAACCTGTGTTGCCAGCTTTACCTTCATCTTCTGTTTCTCCCACTTTATATGCGCCATCTTTAACTTGTTCCCTAGTCTTAGACCCTCTCTCTCTTGTAACTCATTTAGCTGAACAAGATATCGCCATTGAATTTTACCTTTTGAGGTTTGCAGTGTACCTCCTTCAGCCAGTGTATTTCTGAGCAGCTTAACCATGTGGCAGACATCCAAAAGTACATGGACCACTGAATGGGTTGATGGATGTGGAAATGAGGGCCGCATTGAATGTACATCTAAATTTGCACCAAGTGCTTTTGAGCATAGAGAAATGGCAAGATGGGCCATCACATGTTAGAGAAACTATACGTACCCCAACACTGTGCAGCCGTTGAAGGCATTCACTCACGATGTTTGCTCGTTCTTCCCCTGTGAGTCAATCGATGAAAAAATATATGCCACTGGGAGTTTCCATGAGTCATCTATGGCAACAACCATAAGAACCAGAGCATCTCTTGCTGGAGGAAGACTGTCATCTGTGATGCCTGATCCCAGGTCCACATAACCATGAAACCTTCCAGCGCAATATTGAACATGCTTTCGAATGGCCATTTCATCCAGCATCAAAGCACAAATGGTCTCCTTACCTACCTTGTGTCTCTCCTGTACGTGGGCCTGAAGAGCAATAAAAGACGCCTTTGTGAAGCCTGGATCTGATGACACTTCACGATACCAGTTCCTGATGGTCTCCGGATGTGGTAAGGCCAAGTCAAAACACTCACGCACGTAGGTGTACGCCTTGGCAGAGTAAAAGTGAAGAGTCAAAGCAAAAGACTGCAATTCCTCTGACACTTTAGACTTGTTTCCTTTTTCCATTCTGGTAAGTATTTCCTTTGTGACACCACTGAAAGAGTTCTCCATCATTTCAGCACATCCTGTGGAAATCAGGCTTTTGTCTTTCAGCTCTTCAATAATGGCAGACAGGGAGTCAGCTCTCTTCATTAATCGCCGGGTCCTGAGTTGTTGTGCTTTAAGTTTTTTACGACAGTGGTCCAGCTTTTCTTCGACAGAAAGTAACTGTGTTTCACACTGACGCTTTACAGTCCTAGGTGATGCTAACATTGCGTAACAATGGTCCTTACTTGTGGATGTCTGTACAGCTGTGACAGGGCGAGTTAACATCTGTGGCGCACTATTAAAAGACAAGTTACTGCTGATTTCAGAGTTTGAGCTTTCATACTCAATATCTCTGTCTTCAGTCAGCTCCATGCCCTGAATGTTGGCTGCATATGTATGTTCCTTACCTGTTACAAATGGTACTGCTTGTGTAGTGTCAAGCATGCTGTGTAGCTGGTATGTAGGGTCCATACCTGTTGCAGTGGGAGATGCAATGCCATTGCTGGGTGCACACTGACCTTTGTGGGAGTAGTCAAAAATGGTAGGAACAGCTGATGGTTGCAAATAAGTCTTCCTACCCTTGATAAGGAAGCACTCCTCTTCAAAGTGTGCAGCACACAGCCTGGAGTTTGCAGTGGGCACCCAGTTTCCTCACTTTCTCCACCCATTGTGCCAGTCTCTTTTTGTCACCAAGAGGAAAACTGAAAAATAAAAATTAATGGCAAGACAGTTTTTCAATTGGTATAACATATCAATACCTCTGATTGAATGGATTAAAAAAAAAAAAAAAAAAAACTTGTTCACTTCTGATTTTATTTCTGCTATTTGAAATTATATGTAAAATATAGTGTATATGGTGTTGATGTGGATTTTCAAATATTCCAAATTACTGTTTTGAGTCTGGTAAGAGATCCAAATGAAGAGTAACTGTTAGATTTCATGTGGTTTAATAAAGCTGACATCAATCCCTTTACAGTTTTCTCTCTTTTTTTGCATCAGAAAAATTAACAAAATAATAGCATGAGTACAATGCGCATACACTGACATGTTATGTAACAATACACATTTACAAATAATAAAGCGCAGCCATTTTGCGTGCACATGCTATCAGCAATGCAGCAATTATCAAAAAGGAACAGCCTTATTAATGACTATCAAATGTTAATAATAATATTACATCCGTAGATTGCATCTAATGATTAATATATATAATCAATGCTTTACATTTTCGTAGCGCTTTTGTGATTTATATGTGTGAATCACTGTCATGTCATTTTCTAAATGGCTGGAGCGTAATATCCACGGATCTATTAAATATCCGAGTGTCGGAACATATAGTTTATGTAAATATAAGCAACATTAGAAATTCGATATTTAAATCTTTAACTTACCGAAAGAGTGTTATCTTTTGCAATCCATCCGGGCGATTAGTGCAGTTGAAAGCCGAACACGAAGGCATCTTTGCATAGGGTCACTCAGGTCACTCGAGCAGTCCGGAGAGCAAAAGGGCGTGGAGAAAAATTTTCACATTTTATTCTGTCAAATGCCCAATCCCCATTCTCATAATTTGATACAATTTATAGCCCCTCCCCCATTCGTATGATTTCCTAAAGACAGTGGACAGTGGTCACTTTCCCACGGTATCTGCCACACGGAGTTTGAAAAGGTATGTGTGCTTTATTGTGTATATAGTACATAATTAAGGAATCATACAACTGTAATATTTGTGTTTTATTTGACAATCAACTCAATGTTTGTTTTATTTCTTATTAGCTGCAATCAAAAAGTTATGGACCCAGGACGTAGTGCTCAAGAAAGTCGACCCTCTCAAGGTAAAATCACCCCAATGACGTATAAAGTTTTTATACGAAAATTGAATATTTTTATTTTTATTTTAACAGAGCCCACAATATGGATTATGGGGGACAGCTACGTCCGGCGTGGGCGCGACAGAGCCGCGGAGACACTGGGGATGAACCTGGGGCTGCCCGCTCAAATTCAGTGGTTTGGCCAGGGAGGTCTTCGGTGGGACCGCTTGGTCCCCACATTCAAGCAAGAACTAAGAAGAAGGTCCGCCCCGGCTGTCCTGCTCATCTGTTGCGGCAGCAACGACTTGGGAAAGATAAAGAGCGTGGAGCTGGTCGCAACGATGAAGCGGGACCTGCTGGACCTCCACAGGCAGTTTCCATGTATGAAGATCTTCATATCAGAGTTGTCTGAGCGACGCCTGTGGAGGGACGCCAAGCCTGGGCGGATAAACCGAGCCAAAAACTTTATTAATCATGTAATGAGGGACTTCATTGTTGGACTTGGGGGGTGCATGATTCGTCATCCTACCATAAAGTTTGACTGCCCTGGCCTATTTGTTAGGGATGGAGTTCATTACTCAAATTTGGGTAATGATATTTTTTTAAATGATTTAGCCACAGCTCTGAAAGAACACTGTCACCGGGTCTAATATTACATCTTATTACTTCCATTTTATAAACCCGGTGATTGTGTTTTTTTAGTGTTAGTGTTTTTTTTCTTTTTTAATCTCATAATATGCCAGGGACCATCCTTTGTGGTAGGATCACTGTTTGTTAGTTTGCTTTTTATTTTATTTAGATGTTGTGTGGATGTAGTCTGTGTGAGCTTTTTTTTAAATTACCTCATGTAAGTAGATTGTAAATAGTTGTCTTGTTTTCTTCGTTTTTATTAGGTTTTATGTTACTGTTTAATTAAAAATGAAAACTTTTGTGCAATTTTTGTTTAATTATTAAGATAACAAATCAATTCCATGTACCTTTAGTTAAATAATCAGCTCATATTCACAATGGTTCTAAATCAATTACACTTCACAATGCATGGTAACAACATAGGCAAAAACTAAAAATAACATTTATTATAATAAAAACATACAATGAGAAAATATATTTTAAAAATGTACTTATCACCTTAGCGCATACAAGTTAATATTGTGATCACTATGATAATGATTATTATTGATATTAAAATTATTATATAGTCCTGATTTAGTCCAGGATTAGCTACGAATTTAGTCCCAGTGATCAATCTGGGACATGCCCTTAAAACAGTTTTTATTGTTTATGCCAATAATCGAATCAATAGTGTAAAACAAATGGTCATATCCTCATTAATTCAATAAACAAAACTCGTCTTAAAAGAAACATGAAAACTTTACAATAATGCATTTAAAACAATCTTTTCTGAAAAGTTCAAATGAAGTCATTCAAACTCAAAAGTATAGTCTAAAGCATGAACCGGCTTTGATTTCATAATCGATATATTTATAAAAGATCCATAGTTTGAACGCGATCTCACTGCTCCACCGCGGTCGGCTCTGCTCCTGCTCGCGTCAGCGCTCTCCTTCAGGCCGGGCTCGCTCCTTTGGCTCCGCTCGCTCTCGTCGCGCAAAGGCTCATGGGGGTGGCTGAACTGCGCATGTTCGGTCGGCCCACGGCCGCCGGAAGTACCTAGCCGGGCTAGGCTAAACTGGGATCATGCGCCATTGAGCTCAGCCCATTGACTTGAATGGGCGGCCATTTTNACAAGTTTAAAGGTGACTACATGAACACAACATACTCAAAACACATTGTTACTTGTACATTAAAACAAAAAAATCAAAAAAAAAAAAAAACTAAAAAACTTAAATAAAAAAAAAATTAAAAAAATGCAGTCCTGCAACCAAAAAAAAGTTCTATTTTGTGTGAAGTGTGTCACATGGTCAATGTATTTGCATGTTTAAATAGTGTTATATATACTGTAAATAGTTAAGTTATTTTTATTTAATTCATATGAGATATTAGCCAAATTTTGTATTATTCATATATGTTTGAAGGTTATAGTTCATTCCTTGTATTTGCATCTTACCTGTTTGTCCCGTCAGGTTTGTCTGTCCTCGTCTGGTCTTGTGTTCCCACTCGTGGTCTGCACCTTGCCGTGGTGAGTGGGCTTTCAACCAAGACAGGCCATCATTCTGTATGTGCTAACCTCAGGAGGCAACATTTTATAAGCTGTGGATGATTTATTGTATTTTTTTATGCATGTACATTTCAGAATAATTCTTCAAAATAACGAACAATATACAGTTTTTTTTTTCCTTGTCTCTTTTTTTTGGTTTGTCCATACATTTTTATCGAATAAATTATCATGTTAATGCTTCGAGAGCGCCTCTGACCCATGCTTTAAACCTGCGGCTCGTTCACGACAGTTTGGCTTCGTTCACATCACTCTCATGCTCGTTCATGTCGTACCACGTGACCGCTAATAACCAATCAGCGCTGGAGCTTAGCTAGAGCGGGCATAGAGCGTAGCCGGAGCTAACGATTAAAAAGCGATTTTAAAACAAAATACGGATTTTGAGCTGAGAAAAAGTAATGATCTGAAAATAGGTAAAAATCTCCACAAAAATCCGATATTTTTCAAAGTGGTAGGTGCCCTGTTAGCCGAACACGAGCAGTTTGTGATTACATTGCGCTCTATGGAAAAAATTCTCTCTCGGCCCATGGGATTTTTTTGCTGTAGTTCCAGTGAGTGACCACTACGTCAACTGGAGGCAGCTACAAGCTAGCAATACTGTATCCAGTTATTTTAATAGATCCATGTATATACTACACTGTAGTATAGTGTCCGTGCTGTAGTAAGTACAGCACGGACACTCGACAATGACATAATATTTGTGTGAGACGCACACAAAATGTGCAGTCACATTTTTTATGTTATTTTGTAATCTGGCTATTTCTGTTGGTGCTGTTAAGTAGCTCCCTACGGTGGTGTATTATTGCTATCACTCCCCAAAAAATTTCGGCTCAGTATCACGTAATTATGTGAATTATCACGTTATAACGTGATACGAAATTATCACGTTATTACGTGATACGAAATTATCACGTTATTCGTGATACGCATTTATCACGTTATTACATGATATTTCACGTTATAACGTGAAAACGTCAAGTATGGTTTTACGTGATTTCATTATAAGATCAGCCACGCCAAACCACGCTTCCCTCGGTCCAGTCAACTCCAGCCTGAGCATGGCCCACGTTGAAAATGTGGATTCTCCACTCTTGAGATTACTTCGGGCTCGTGTTGTTCCTTCGCATGAAGCAAGATCGTGTAAGTGTATTTTACGGTTTCGTCCCCAAGTTGTGTTAGCGTACGGTAGCAGAATGCTCTGTAAGCAACTGCTGAATATTAGAGCTGGAGCGAGTTGTTCGCTGTGGGTAGAGCTGCTAAAAGTAGCTAGTCTGTTTTGCAATTCTGTTATAGCTCCTAAGAATTAGTTAAAGACAAAAGCATTCATTTGACACATTTCGGTGTTCCAGTTACTTATGAATAATGACCATAAAACATTGTGACTGTATGCACTCAGACATAGACAGTGTAAGAGAAGGTTATTCAGAAAATGTGTGTAGTTAGCTAAGCTAGCCCCGCTTCAACTCATCTGCCCAGCCTGGGCAGGGGAACAGCGCTCAGAGGTCCCTTGCTCCTCCGGTTCAGGCCGGGCTCAGATGATCTGGAGCGGGGAGTGGTTAGGTGCCTCGGCCTGAGAAGCGCTTTTCTCAGAAGAACAAGTGCACCGGAGGCTCAGAACAGTAACGAACCAGACCGGATTCGCGCTTCTGTCCGGATGCTTTACTCCACCTCAGAACCAACGCAACGCTACACGGAGCAACCCGCACGGACTAGAGTTCACTGCGCATTCTCGCTTTTCCCGTACAGAACCAGCACGCAGAGGACGGCACGGAACCGCTCAGCGATGTCTTTACTGCTGTTGGCTGCTGCTGTTACCCGAACTCAGAGCTTCTGGGCTGATGTGCAGCGAGTTGTGTACAAAGTTATAGCTACATGTGCTGTTTTATGAGTTTATGATGATAACTTGGGATGAGGACGGCGTGGTGTTTTATGGTCTTTATTCATGAAGAACTTGAAACACCGCATGTGTCAAACGGAATGCTTTTTGTCATGAACTATGGAGCTATAACAGAATTGCAATTTTAGCAGTCTTTGCCCACAGCGAAGACTCGCTACAGCACTGTTCAGCAGTTGCTTACGAACATTCTGCTATCTTGAGGACGAAACAGTAAAATACTCTTACAAGATCTGCTCCATGGGAAGGAGATTGGACTTGATCTTGTCTGTCACTCAAGGTCTGACACTCAACAAGTGCGATCATATTTCATTACGGCCGCTGCTGTTGGCAATACTTGTAATAACTTGTAATAATTGTAGCGGGGTGCAGGAGCGTGCGGGGCGTCTCAGTGCAGCCTGTGCGCTCATTTCAAACCCGCGGAGACTCTACGGCACATCACAAACACACGCTCCATATGCACGGCTCGTCTGCAACAGCGTGTGCTCTCGTGTAACAATGTGCATCACAGGGCAGGTTAAACTTCCTAAACCTACCTGTCCATCTGCCTCACGTCAGCACGCCACCCCTCGCCTTTTCACGCTCTCACCTTCCTGCGTACAGCGAACACAAGCCCCTTCCACAGTGCGCGCTGATTAGAAGAGCAAGACCAAACGTGAAGCAAAAACGAGTCTAAATTTGTGTTACAGTGTTGGCACAAAGCAGGCCTACAGCATAGAGCAGACCTACAGAACAGACCTACTGCCACATTTGGCTGAAGTTTGCCTAACGAAAGTGCACAAATGCATCTGTGTTTGTCACGATGTGCGTTTGGTTTGGTAAACGTGCAGAGGCTGGTAAATATCACTGCAAAACCAGAAAAGAATGTAACTCCAGTTTGGAACTTTAAAAAACAGGTTTTAAAAATCTTCCTTCACTTTTTTCACAGTTTTGTGAAGTGCCAGAGGAAGTTCTCTTAAAGAAGGGCTTCTCAACTGTGGGTGAGGGTCCAAAAAAGGGGCACAGAGTGTTTCAGTGCAGTTTGTTGGCTTTTGTATTAGGTAGATCTTTATGACTTGGTCATTTTGTAAGTAGCTCGCATGCTGAAAAAGTGTGAGCACCCCTGCTTTAAAATAATTAGTAACGCATGTGCATGGTGACAGTCATGGAGAAGTTTTTAAAACGGACGAATGCAAACTCCGAACTGGGCCCTGGACAAGATTCTGACCCAGAAGAAGAGCTTTTCAAGCTTAACTGCTATAAAAACTAAAAACAGAGAGACTGAGAGCTGTTGATGAAGAGCTTCGTGTGTGTCTTTCTTCTATTCCTGCCAGGATATCAGCTTTGTGTTCATCTAAACAGGCACAGGTCTCACACTGAGTAAGTAGAAATTAATATAGAAATTATATTGTAATTAAATATACTGAATAGTGTCATTTTGTAACATTTTGGTTAGTGGTGTGCCGCAAGATTTTTCCGATGTAAAAAACATGTCGTGGCTCAAAAAAGGTTGAAAAACACTGGTCTACAGTTTTGGATGAATTTGGGAAACTGACGACATATTTTAGAATCTGAAAACTACCAATTAAAGCCTGTATGTATCTGCACGACTAATGCTGCTGCAAATACGTATGGTAATGTAAAAGTGTGTCCCTGGAGCTGCGGCTGGCTGCCTGCAGTGTGGGAGGTGTCTCTGACCTTGCTTCAAACATGATTCATTTGGTTCAGTCTTTGTGCTAAACTTACACTTTAATATTAGCCTTTTTACTTTCTTCTGCATCTTAAAACCTCAGAACTTTGAGCTGGGGGTGTTTCTGCCTGTTTGAAGTGCCACTTGCTCAAATGTTTGTGACAAAAGCGATTGCTGAGCGAGAGAGCAGAACAATAATGTGCAGAAATAAAGAACGGGACAAAGAAAGACAGAAGAAGAAAGCTGATCAATGCCAGTCTGCTGTATGCACAGTGACAACAAAATAAAGTCTCTGAAGAGACGCGACGTTGTGAACACTATGAAACTTTTGTGTCTGAGAAGCAGTTCTTATACATGACCAAATCCTTCAAGTCAATAACATGTTTACAGTGACTCATCGGCAAAAGCGACTTGATAATTCATTACTGACAACAATAGAAGATGGAGGCCGTGAACGGTGACGACAATGCTAATCGTGTAAGTATCGCAGTGAGAGAATAAGATGTCAGATTGGGGAGGCAGCTTGTTGCCACGGGTGACAAAAAAGAAAAGGGTGAAGTGTCTTTGATTACAGCAATTTCACAAGCAAGGACTATAACCTCGGAATAGAGTGATAATGAGTTTTTTATACATGTAGGCAACAATGTTATATTTAAAAACTTTTGGGGCATCTGCGGAGGTGGCTCTTGGTATCCTGGTGCTTATATCCCCCCTTACTGTACAATAGAAACAATGAGAACTAGCACTGCAGTCCTTAACTTCTGTTGATACTTAACAGCTGTCATCAACATTCCCTGCTGGTGTGATGCTAACCGTAAGCACTGCTCTATCTGAGGCTTGTTAAGACTTTGATGTGAGCTTTATTTTTTACACAGTCTCACCATAAAGAACTGACTTAGCTGGAACAGGAAAGGTAAGGTAACAGATAAGATGTTTTGTGGTGTTAAATAAGTCTCTTTTAATTACATTACAGTCACAAGTAGGGTGAACAGATGTCCCTATTTGCCCGGGACAGTCCCAGTTTTGAGACCTGTGTCCCCTGTCCCAGCAGATTAAGTAAAGAGAGGCATAAATTGTCATTTGTTTAGGAAAAATACAAAAAAGCTGCTTAAAAATGACCAAAACACAAAATGTGACTATACTGACTCATGTTAGTCGTGAATAAGTCAGTAACAGTTTTCCTTAATTACACACTTGTTTCACAATTTTATTATTACCAACAACTCCAAACCAGGGGTGTCCATGTTTTTGATGTTAAAAATCTGGTCACCCTAGTCACAAACTATCTAGCATTAACCAACAGTTTTTCAGTGAGTCACTCCCACGTTTTTGTTGAAAATCAAACTCCTAAATTGGACCATGAACGCTCATATTGATCACAGGCTGAAAATGTGTGGTTTGAATCCATTTTATATTTTTTCAGACAATCATAAAACTTTTTTTTTTAGCAGTGTTTCCTAATGTGTGCATTGTGTCACCATGGTAACAGGTGTGTATTAAGTCATAGAGATACATATATAACACCCCACGAGTGAGTCACTGTAAAGCAGGAGTCACCAAACTTTTTTCTCTGGGGGCCACATTATTGTTCCTGACTATGATGGGGGCCGGATTCGGGTTGGCCATATAACAAAATTGTATGACCCTGATGAAACCATCACACTTTCTTTACATGTCAGACAAACTGCACGGTCCTTACACTGGACAAAAAATAATCGGTCGTCCACTGTTCTCTGAAAATTCTGCATTCTGTCAACTTTTCATACTTTAACACTCACCATTTTGCTGTCCTTAACTGCACTACAGAACTCAGTGTGAGTGTTCTGCCACAGTAAAAGTGTGTTTCTACGAAGAGTTAAAGGGGTTTATAATAATTTAGTAATAAATATGTTCTAATTCATCTGTTATAATTTCATGTTAAAAAAAAAGTGCCATTTGTTAAAAAAATAATCGCTATGCACTCTTGGTTTGGTTTACGTGTATCTTATTTTGAAGGCCTCAGGAAGTGGTCGCGATGCATTACGGGTAACAGAGGCAGAAAAAATCAGTCAGAGGAAAAGAAACGTGTTAAAGAAAAAAACTAGTTGATATCCTGTGTGTTAAATCTTATTTACACCTTCGAAAGCAATGGCTGTAAGTTTACTATGTGTTTGGTGACTTAAACTTGTTCTGTAAGATGTTGTAGAGATCGTTTTTTGCAGGTTATTTCCAGGAATTAGACCTAGCCCATGATATTGCTAGCTCAGGAGCACTGTGTATTAGCATAGTACTACCTCTATTCACACGTATTAGCGGCCTAATTAACATATGAAAAGATCGCGAAAATCTAAAGACTTGTTAAAGAAGCAGTTTGTGGTGCTAGCTATTTCTCTGATGGATTTCTGTTCTTATATTGCAAGCTAATGTAAATTTTATTTGTTTGTTTTTCAGTTTCACTTGGGCTTTTCACGCCACAATTGTAACCAATTGTAAGCTGTCTAGAAGACTGCATTAAAGGAGCAAGACGCTCAGTTTCCTGGCTCGTGAAAACCGAGTTTGGCTTGCTGTTAATCTGCGTTTACATACACGGTGTATCCAACACGTAGTGATAACAGTACAGTGAGCGTTGACTGTCACTGTTTGATCTCGAGCTTGTCAGGTGACAAAAATTTGGCAGCAAATATGGTGGCGAATGTAAATATGTCATATAATTATTTTAATATAAATACTTCAAATAATTATATATTTTTTAATTTAAAACATCAAAAAAAAAAAGCACAATGCTGATTTTTTAAAAATTATTTTTAATTGGCCATGACAACTTTTGAAGATTGCCTCATAGGCAATAGCAATCTGTAGCTTCCATTTCTGTAGATGAATAAAAAGAATAATCACAGGCTCTTTATTATAATTTACTACATTATTCAACCTTCCATGTAAGTGTAGTATTATCATCTGCTGTTTACTGGACAATTTGGTTTTATACTTATTGAATGAGAAATAGGAAGTAGAATGCGGGAGGGCAAGGCATGTAAACAAGAGGACGGAGAGGAAGTGAGTGGGTGCTATAAATAAGGTGGGGACAAATAGATGTGTGTAGTGAGGCGTGGCTGAACTTATGATAACTATACATTATCTTAATTCACTGTAGCTCATTTTAGATCTCTTCCCCGTTACAGTTTATTTTCTGCATAGTTTGTTTATTTGAGAGGGATAACACCTGCCACATTATAATTACATTCAATTGAAGGCGATAAACAGATTGAACAGTTTGAAAACTCACTGCATAATGACATT